ACGACCACAACGACCACAACGACCACAACGACCACAACGACCACAACAACCACTACCACAACGACCACAACGACCACAACCACCACAACCACCACTACCACAACCACAACGACCACCACGACCACAACCACAACGACCACCACTACCACAACCACAACGACCACCACGACCACAACCACAACGACCACGACAACCACAACCACAACCTCCACGACCACCACGACCACTACGACCACTACACTTGGACCACAGCAGGACTGAACGAATTTTCAAAAGGTCCCTTTGCAATATGGTTGTCCATACATTTTTCCCATTTATTCATGTTTGTATGTGACTTCGGCATGTGGGGTCGAGCGACCCAAACTGGGAGTGTGTTCTGGCCCATCGACGCCGCGCAGGAGGTGTTCTGGGAGTCCGGTGGCGACTTACCGGGTGTCGGCACGTGGTGGTTGAACGTAGGAAACTTGGGCAACTCGGCACGTGAAGATGTGTGAAGGACGGACGGAGTAGAAGCGACAGAAGTGACAGAAGGACATGTTGGTGAAAAAACAACGATAACACTTTTCTTAGACGGTCCAGTGTTAGCTGTTAGCCTGGTTAGCCTTCTTTGAGATTCAGTGACCATATGTGTGTCCAGTTCTTTTGCTTGCTTGGCTGACGCTTGTGCACTATTCCCACATGGGAATCGTCCTCGTAGCTTAGATGCCTCTTTCGAGTATTCCATCTTCTATGACGCAGAGGCCAGCGGTGAAACATACGCGGGCGTGGAGGGCGTGGAGGGCGTTTCACGCCGCGGCAGGATGCGACCATGGGTGAAATCCCCAGTCTCCCGGACGTGCTGGTCTTCCAGTCTTCCAAAAGGGTGTGTTTACTCTCGCCGACTGGGGCACGTGCCAGTCCAAGTGCAGGACCGAAAGGGAGAGCGAGGAAAGCGCAGGGTTGGCAGGGTTCGTTCGCACCTGGCATTCCCTAGAGACTTCCTTTCGAACATTTTAAAGACATGGTTGAGCCTGTGTGGTCGTGGTCCAATCCTTTGTCACATCAGCTTGCTGCTTCGGCGGACGCGGACGCGGAGCCTTCCCAATGGCACTCCAGCGGAGGTTGGAAACCCGAGGTTGGAACATGACCAATATGTGCAGAAAACATCCCCACCCTCTTGGCTGAGGAAAAGGGGGGGGACGTCAAAAAGTGTAAGTTACATTTTCTGGGGGGGTATTAAATGTATGTTACCACCCCCTTACGTGGTTTAAAGGGGGGTGAGATAAATGTATGTTACCCCCCCTCCCGCATGGATGGTGAATCATGGGATGAACAATCCCCAGGATTCCATGGGGAATACTCAGTCTGCGGATAGTGACTTTGGGGGGTGGGGGGGTGGTTTAATGTAACATAATACCTGGAACATGGCGGCTTACATTTTTTGACCCCCCCTATTGTCAGATGAGTCTGATGTTTTGTGGTGCTTGGCTCAGTGCGGCCCGATCGCCAGCGCGTCACGACCAAGATCCATCGGAGCCAACGCCATGCTTCAGTTGGAGTAGAGCAGTCCTTGGCAGTCCTTGGTGTTTAATCTTGACTTGCTTGATGTGAAGGAGAAATCATAGAATACAAAAATCCATGCACGACCTAGCGACCTTCATCCCACCTCCAGGTCACCACATATGACCCCCCCAAGAATACCCAGCGCTGGCAGGCAAGCAAAGTAAATGTAGGCTGGCATGCTTGAGGTCTTCCAAATACCATGAAAAAGGCCTTTTATGGCATACCTTTGGCCTTTGGAAGTTACATTTTGTATCCAAACATTTTCTATCCACCACCACATACCACCCCCCCCAAAAATATCCAGCAGTGCTGGCAGGCAAGCTAAATGTAAGCTTGCGTGCGAATACCATGAAACATGCCTTTTGTGGTATCCCTTTCGCCTCTGGAAGTGGTGATCTTTGGGGCTCCGCTGCCAATTGGGGTAGCGGCCTTTCATGGCATTTGTCGCTGTGACCAAAAAGGATGAACAACGTGAAACTGCATGAATCTGCTTTGAGCTGCTGAGAATTCATGGGACATCATGAAGCTTTCATTTGATTGCTTTTGCTGAATCTTGCTGAGAGTTTTTGTGCCGATCATTATCAACGTCAAAAATGTAAACCTACAATATTGAAGCCTGAAATCACAAATGTAAGCCTACATTTTTAAGGCATTGTTTCGAAAATGTAGGCCTACATTTTTGACCCTGGACATATAGGCCGACCCCCCCTAAAAAAATGTACAATTTTGAGGTCCCGCCCCATAATGGGTAAAATCAGAACACGACGAGTCAATCGTACGTGAAGGATCGGGGGTCTCTCTCGAGTCAATCACGGCGCCGGATTTTCCTTCCGCTGTGTCCTGCTGCATAGCTCGTATGCACCGCACCAAGCTCATTCTTCAATTCAAGCGAATTGAGGGTTATTTGTTGTTCGGAATTCAGCCGAAAAGCTTCTTTTTTGTAGTTGGAATCCCAGCTAGGGTATGGAGGGCTCCTGATATATGATGAAACGAAGGGTCAATGTCAAACTCAAAGCCCAATGGTTCATGTCTCCCTCCAAGGCACATCCTTCCATGTGCTTCATTTTGGGACCAGATTCAGGCTCTAAACATCGACATTTCCGACCCCAAACATTGCCTTTGAATTCGAGTCTTGACAATTAGGTTTGATGGGGACCAGGTCAAATGTGGCATCTGAGTCTCTCAGCACATGTTGGTCATGAAACATTCGGGACCCCCGGCTATTCGGGCGAGCCCGAATGCAGAAACCGCAGTTTTTGGGCTGACCCTCGGGCTGACCCTCGCCCGGACCCCCCCTGTCCAAGCAGAAACCCTCCGTGTTTTGGGGGTTCGGGCGAGGGTTTCTGCTTGGACACCATGGTGGGGGGTTTCGGGCAGGGTCCGAGGGCATCGGATCCGGGGAAACTGGAGCCTCCAAAGCTCCCGGGCGCGGTGGGTTCCGGCCAGGTCTTCTCGACCTTCGGAGGCTTCCTGTGCACGGCCACGCCCACGTTCTATCAGCAAGTGCCGGTGGTGGCAGGGAGCTTCTCCTTTGACACAGAGGTGGACTTTAATGTCGGTTGCCAACTGGTGCCTCTTCCAGAGGATCCAATCGATTCTAGAGTGGAAGTGACTGGGAAGTTTTTTGTCGCTGATGCTTGCCCGCACCCTGTTTCTCGCCTTTTGCCGAAAGTGCATCCCACCGAAGCCGAAATCAGCACTTGACCCTTCTGCTTGCCAACCAGCTGATACGTTTCATATTCCTTTTTCCACGGTGAAAGCGCCAGAGAAATCTAACCTGATTGAATCCATTGTCTCAACGATTTACCAAGAAAGTCAACACACTAGCAGAGTGCACCGTCATCAATTGTCCCATCGGCCAATCAACCACTTACCAACCTGCGAAAACGTCCTACAACCATTCCCTACAGGTCAAAGACCTCATTTGACTGGACGTCGTCATACAAAAACACTACTTCAGGAGGTCAAAGACCAGGTTTTACTGGGTCAGACTGGACGAACGTAGGGCCTGGTTCTTTGATTGGGATCCGGACTCGTCTGGACTCCCTCCCCCAGCCCTGACGCCGCGGCTCCGGGATCTTCAGACACCTCCCAGACACCTCCCAGACACCTCCCAGACACCTCCAGCCAGTGCCGATGCGCCCCCTTCAAAACCCGTGGCGAACCGAAGTTCCGGCACGTCGCAGTCGCTGGGTGGTTCCACCCACCTCCCAACCCTTCTGTTTTTTTTCTATGCGCTGCGCCGATGCGCCCGAGGACACCCTCGAGGTCTTCGCGAACACACTCGACACAGATCCGGCTTGGAGGATCACGCTCACTGGTTGGATGCTCGACGGATGGAACGGATCGGACGGATGGTGCGAAGAGATGGGCAGGTGGACCTTTGATCGACGGTGGGAGACAGGCCCATGGGGCCAAAGGGGTCGTTTCAGGGCCCGAAACACACGGCCCTTTGGAAGATTCCATGCTGCATCTCGTGTCACTCAAAACAACCCCTGTTCATGTTCTGACGTCTTTCCGGAGGACCACTTCGGACGGTATTGCCACTTCGTTCGCTTTCCTGGCAAGGTCTCGCTTTGTCGAGGCTTTTAGCTGGCAGCACTACAGTAATGCCTCCATCAAGGCTATGGTTTTTGGGTCTTTTTCTCTATGGGTTGAGAGTAGATTGTGCCCAATCCCCCAATGTCGGGTGGTTGGTTGTCTATGGATCCCCATCTACTCTCAAGACATCTTGGGGGTGCCCTGTGCCATCTACTCTCAATCCACTGTACAACTCGCCTAGTAGCCCGGCAACACAGCGGCCGTCCGTTTGGACGGCCTCTTTTTCAGCGGACCACCTGTGAACAGCAGGTGTGGGTTTGTAGCAAACCCGTTGGCATGAAGTGCTCTTCAAGCCATAAGTCAGCAAGTATTGCTCCAACCATTCTCTTGCTCGAGTTCCTTGATTGCAGCCCTTTGTGCCTTTCCAAGCATCTGTGAACAAGATAAGTTTTCACTTGATATTGAGAAGGCAGAGGACCTCAACGACGGCACTTTTCCACGTGGCTCTCCCTTCCTGAGCATTTGGATGTTGCAAGGCACAAAAGAAAGGTTTGTCTGGGGCTTCAGGTAGCTCCCTGCTCCCCACACCCAATCAGCGCAACCGTGGCTCATGAGCCTGGCTTCTGCTTGTTCAAGTGTGACCCATCGATCTCTGTGACATACTTGGACGCCGTGGCATTTCAAGTCTTGCCGAGGGTGCACTGCTGATGCAGGTTGCAGCAGGTTGCAGGTGTCTCTTCAAGACGCAGAAAACGCACGCCTGTCAGCCTGTCACAATCTTTCTGACCTTGTTGGCTGATTTGGAATGATTTGGGTGGTACAGACGCACATGAGGTCTTGCATGCAGGACTTTTAAGCAAGGTATCTCTGACGTCGGTGGCTCCGAACTCTTTCGTGTGACGGTCCCGGCGGGAAGAGTGGTCATATGTTCCACGGCCTGGGAAGCTTTAAATGATCAAACATGACTTTGCACCTCTCTCGCTCTCTCTCTCTCTCTCTCTTTCTCTCTTTATGTTGTCTTTTCAGGCTATGAATCCGACTTTCGAGTTTCGAGGGTTTGGTCGCACTCGGGTTGATGAAAGGTTGATGCGACAAGGTCGAGGGGTTTACTACTGTACACTGATTGTACGGTGGTTATTCCAGGTTCACCCAGCACTTCCGGTTCCCGGGCTGACCCTGCTTTGGGGATGACTAAGGGGTGCCATTACCCGGCGGCTTGCATACGCTGAGCCGGGCGTTGAGCGCGGTTCCCGGCGGTTGCAAAGCGTCTTTCGTGGCTTGGCAGTTGAGAGGGTCATTCAGGTCTTGCTGCATCTATGACCAGGGTTCTATTTTTCTATATGAAAAACCTTTTAATAAATATATCGGGTGGATTTGCCCTTCCATCCCCCTGAAAGGTCCTATGGTAGCCAAATTCCTTGACAGGTCAGTTCTCAGATGAGCGGTGCTTTGGGACTTCCTCACTGAAACCCAATTCTCGTCTCTCAGAAACGCCCTCCCAGAAGCATCGGTAGCCGATGCCACAAGCAGCCGATGCAGACGGCCTCTTCTTGGATCTTGGCCCCCCCCTGACACATCCCCATGAACAATCCTGAATTTGGAGATGGAAGACATGCTTTTTTGGTAACATAGAAGTTCCGCAAAAAACTGATATTGTTCCCTTCACACATAAATTATCATAAGTCCTTGATACAACTTTCGATCTTTGGACATCTTCTTCTCTGGTCTGGATTCTAACCGCCTGTCCTTGCTCCCAAAAAGGGCAGGTGGTGAATCCCCAGCTACAGCGCTTATGATTTTCAAGAAGCACCTACCAATATTGATGAAAATTCTGAAGTCTATAAACTACAACTACACATCTGGCAGCAGCGCCCTGCAGCGGCAGCTTGTGCCAGCACCCAAGGCACACACGGCCACACATCTGGCAGCGGCGCCCTGCAGCTTGCGCCAGCACCCAAGGCACACACGGCCACACATCTGGCAGCAGCGCACCTCTTCCCATACTGGAAGTAAGAACACAATAGCTCTCGCTATCTGGGGAAAACGCTTGCCGGACCAACCGGTGCCGAACTGGGGACGGAAGATGGCTTGGCTGAACGACCAGGAAGGATCGAGACCCTGGCGCTTCCTCTGTTAAAAGCTCGCCTTTTGAGACTGAAGTACCTTGTTGTGGCCTGCATGTGCCCAGACCAGTGGATCTCTTTTTGTGTGTGATGCAAGTGCTTCAACCATAAGCAGATGTGTTTTCGATTTCTTTATGTTTGCCTTTGCAAAAATGCTTTTACAGCAGTCAGTCGCTGTAGGGGCATAAAAAGACTCTTCGAACATCTGGAGAACCGCAGCCCAAACAGATAGGTAACCGGGTATGTCTGCGTGTGCGTGTGCGTGTGGGTGTGTCTGTGTGTGTGAAACCCTTGGAGTCATAGGGCTTCCGTTGAAGTAATGATTATTAGCAGGGGCACTGAGCACTCCTTGGCAAACTCAGTGCAACGAAGCTATGCCTTGGAGTGGGAATCACGGATTGATCACCCGTGTGTACATGCAGTTTTTACCGGGGCAATTCGCATTTAGTCCCTGCTTTAGCTAAAGCAAGAATTTCGGCATTGGCATGTGTATCAAAAAGAAATTAATTACTGAATCAAAAAATATTTATTTACGTAATCAACAACAAATTAATTATCTAATCAAAAAATAATTATTTTCCTTTCCCGTCTCTTGTATGCTTGCTCCTGGTCCACATGGTCGTCCTGGTCCCCTTGGTCCCCTGGTCCCCTTGGTCCCCTGGTCCCCTTGGTCCTCTGGTCCCCTTGGTCCCCTGGTCCCCTTGGTCCCTGGTCACCTCGTCGAAGGGAAGGGAAGGGAAGGGAAGGAAGAAAAGAAGGGATCCAGGTAGGAGGCCGGCGCCTCGTCTGTACACGCGAAAAGTGACTCATCTGTACACGCGAATGATATACCTCGTCTGTACACGGGGATGCGCTGCTTCAAACTCACTCTCGCTCTCACTCTCACTCACTC